CACCTAGAGTTATCCCATAGGAAGATCTAAACACAAATGTACATCTGAGCTCCTGCCTCTCATTGAAGTTTGAGTGCCAARCTGAGTGCTAAATGTTAAAGGCCTTTATTTATAACAAGCCTCTCCTGAGAGCAGGCACCTGAATAAGGCTTCTGAACTACCTTTTAATGTGCTTTTAGTAAGATACTGACGGAATAGGATAGTTCATGCATTTTATACTGAAGAGCATTTGATTTAAAAAAAATATATAAATAATGATAAATAATATATGGAGCAAGGATTTATGCTAATGTCTCCCTCCTTCCACTTGAGGACTCTATGCAGTGTAGCTCTTTCCAATAATTCCTCCTTGGGACACATGATTCCAGCCTCTTTGCTTCAGTGGGAAGATTAGAAAGTGCCCTCCCTTTGACTCCTCGTTAGCATGAGCACTAACCTAGGAAAATGGGAATCTGATCCCCTGCAAGCTGGGGGAAGGAAATCGCCTCAACCCTGKTCTTGGAAGAGGTTTTCTAGCCATGAGCCTGTCATGCACACGCTCCTTTGCATCTCTAGTAGCTGCTCTGCTTTGTGCTGGGCTTAAAACTGCTGCTTCTGTTACCTGTCCTGTGCTGGGGGGTCTGGGGAATTACACAGCACTTGGGCACGTGTGTCCATGTGAGGCCTTAGCTTCCCGGGCTGGAGATTCCCTAGTGCAGGCACAGCCTCCTTGGGAGCTTCCTGCTTGCCTGGGAAGGGAGAGAGCTCCAGGATCATCTTCCTGAAAAGAGGAATCTATTCTTAAATGTCTAAAAATCTCAAATAGATTTTATTTCAGATAKCGAAGCAAGCAATCGGGATTGCACTTTGCAGCTATCCCAATCACCTTAGAAAATCCAGCCTGTAATTTCCCTGTAATTGAAAATACCAGGTGTAGTCTTTCCTTTTCTCACTCCAACTTGGCTGTATTAAAAAAGCATCTTGTCAGCCAAGGACAGAAACTTAAAAGATGGGTCAATCAAGAGAGTATTTTAATTGTATCACTCATCATTTTATGTAAGGTAAACCTATTTCTAGCATAACCTGACATATTTATCAGAATAAACATGTAGTGATAACTGAAAATACCCTTGGGCAGCAAAGGGCAAGGCAAGTCCTGATTGCCCTGGCAAGCTCCTGGAGATGGATTGAAATTCCCAAGCCAAGTAACTTTTAGACCTCACCTTCCATGCTGGAAGTGTTGGTCACAGCCTGTGCCAAGGAATGTGGAGTGATCCCCAAGCTCTAACTGGAAGCAGCTCCCTGGGCWCTTACCTTGGACTAACCTCCTTTGCCTTCAGATGCCAACCACTTCATTAGGATATACCTTCAGTCCCTGCTTTGTCCCAGGGTGGTTATGATTAGGGCTTTGACTGATTCARTCGATAGACTCTCAAAGTCCATATTAATTAGTTGCTGTAATTTTCTAAAGCAATGCAATGCAACGCATGGCATGAACAGGTCATCTGCTCTGTCAGCATTGTTCATTTTGCAGTGAAGATCAAACACCTTTGAAAAGCGTTCAGGTAGTATTTGTAAATGCTTCGTGCAGATACGACTTGTTCTGATTTATAATAAAAATGTCTCGGTGCCTTGGAAGGTGTCCAGGAGAGTGAAGCTCTGTGTTCTTCAGCATATCAGTGAATTAGCAAATGATAGTGTTGCTGATTACAGTGTGCAGTGTTACTCTTGTAACCCTTCCTAAGGGTTAGGAAGGGTTAAGCTGGCACTATACCTCTCTTCCTAAGCTCACCAGCACCTGTGTGTGTTGGTCCTGTGTGGGCAAAGAGGACTCACTGTTACCTGCCCAAATCTGTTTCGTACCATCCCTGCCCCTCAGAGCTAACAGCAGTAAAGCAACCATAGCAGGTCGTTGCTGTAACGCTTGGCCTTCCTCCGTGTGTGATTTCTCAAATATTTTGCCAACACTTTGCACAATGTTACKTGTCAGTCGGGCACTGGGGAATTGGCTGCACCTCGGGCTGAGATTGCAGCATGTGTTGGTATCATCTTCCTTTAAGGCAGTGCTGCAAAGGGGAGTCCTCGGCTTTGGGGATGCGTGAGTGGCCTCTAACCAGCAGAAGGAAAAATTACAGCTCCGCAAAGGGAAACACCAAGTGCACAGAGCAGAAATTGTTGATGAAACAAAGCGCTTAAGCTGACTGGAAAAAGATCAGTTTGTGAGAATGGGAAACCTCTTTTCCAACTAGATGCCTGGTATTCCCAGAAAATCAGGCCAGAACCAGTAAATTCTTCCTTGCTCTGTGAAGGGCTTGATACCAAAATTGTATCTGGTTTGATTTGGTATCTGTTTGGTTTGATACCAAAACTGTAAAAAAGAATTAATGTTACATCCTCTCTCTCAAAACCGTCTTGCTTCAAAGGGCAGACAAAGAAATAAAGCAGGCAGGCAAAGGGCAAATAAAGGGCAGACAAAGAATAAAGCAGTTGCAGAGCTGTTAGTGTCTAAGTCTGGGTAGTTTTTCCCGCTGCAGAGAAGTTGCTTGCAAAGCCTGTGAGAATGGTCGCTTGGAGACCGGAGCCCACAGCCTCTGTCTGAAAGGAAAATCTCCACGAGGAATCAATTATGAGCAGTTACACTGGGAGTGTTACTTTGGGACAGAAGGATTGCTTTGTTATTTGCACTGCTAAGCATTTAATGGAAACAATATTTTAAAAGGAGCTTGCCAGCGAAGACAAAAACTCCCTGTTGCTGCATGCAGGGACCTGCATTTCTTGCTGCTCAGTGCCCAGCTCTCCAYGTGAGGTTACCTGCAACCTTGCTTGCAGTAACATCTGCTGCTTTGCAGCTCTTGGGGTGTTTGTCCCCAGGGCAGGCAAGGAGGTTACGTCTTCATGTTATGGATGGGGAAATCTGACCTTGTATGAGATTGATCTCCTTTAACTTTAGCCATTGGTGACTGAGTTAGCTCCTGGGCTCTGCTCGCAGCTGAGGGAGGATCACACCTGCAGGAGGCAATCTCTCCCCAGCCTAAAACACAGAAGAARCAGCAACCACAAGGTGCCTTGCTCTGTTGCCACCAGCTGGAGGCCTGAGCCAGACACCTGATGCCAGGCAAGGTGAAGGGAGCCCTGAGGGACACCAGTGGCTCCCTGGAAGGTGGTGGAGGTAGAGCCTGGTGGCCCAGGATGGACTGTTCCTGCTAGCTCTCCCGGTGTGTCAGGGATGGATGGGGTTGGCTCCTGTGCTGAAAGCTGGGCCCTGCTYGTGTGTCTGCCACGAGGAAGATCCAGTTGCTGCAGGAAGTGCTGCTGGTGACTCAGTGAACAGCACCAGAGCAAATGTCCTCCTGTGGCACCGTGAGCGTTTCCRTCCTGCTTGTGCTGCAGGTTAAATCTGAGGCCCTGAGTGCTGCAAGTCATCACAGGATCGTACTCCACAAGACTAAGGTATTAATCCCAGACAAATTATGTGCTTAGAGGAGGCTGCCAGTGTAGCACGGAGGACTAAACTGTCTGTTTTTGTGCACATGCTGATCTAAACTGTGCTGGGCTTAGGTGGAGCTGCTGCCTTCTGCTGCGTCCTGGAGGGAGTGAAATGCTTTCTGCATTTGCAATAGTAAAGCCCTTTGGGGTTTTAGATGGAGAGCATTATGAAAATGTGACATAGCATTACTTGAGCAGGTTACATAATGTTTAGAGTTAAGGTTTTGCAATATTACACTTAATGTAAATGCTTGACCGTGCTTTGTGTTGGTGTTTGTGCTGCGTCCTACAACAACCCTGTGCCCAGTGCAGGCAAAGAGCAGCGGGATGCCCTTAGAGCGAAGCGGGCAGCAGTGTTTGTAGCTGAGGGCTGGCTCCAGTTTTGCTCCTCCTGGTTCTCTGCCCTCCACAGGCAGTGACTGAGCCTGTCAGAGCCCTCCTTGCCCACCTCACCGGCTGGGGGTGAACATTCAGCACTGTCCCCTGCTGCATTAAACACGATGCAGCTGGTAACTGCTTGGATGTGAATGTCGTTGCATGTTACAGCCTTCATTCTGCGGTTGTAAAGCGCCTGTATCGTGGATCAGATAAACCTGTTTCTATTCTGAGGACTCTCCAAACAACGGGGTGGATCAGGCCCATCTGCCAAGATACCTCACAGGGGAGGGAGAACTTCTTCACTGTGAGGGTGCCMGAGCCCTGGCACAGGCTGCCCAGGGAGGCTGTGGAGTCTCCTTCTCCGGAGATCTCCCAAAGGCTCCTGGATGCCGCCCTGTGCTCTGGGTGTCCCTGCTGGAGCARGGGGTTGGACTAGATGAACTCTAGGGRTCCCTTCCATCCTCGACCGCTCTGTGATTCTGTGGGAGGGAAGGTTGCCAAGGTTGCCACCTGCAGTGGAGAGGGCAGCTCTCCCATTTATGGTTGACTCTTCCTAAGTAATGATGAAAACTCACCCTATCAGTGGGGTGCACGGGCAGGGGGCTGCTAATGTTACCTCAGATACCTGCATGGCCTGGTGCCACTTACACARCTGTAAAGCAGTTTTTTAGGTGACTTTGTTGAGAGACTGGGAGAATTCATGGGATGGGGGCTGTGCACAGCTCGTGGGGTGAGGTAGTYTGGAGTCTTGTTAAAGTTTGTATTTGATATGTGATTGTTGAACTGAAATTCTACATCTCAAAGCATGCAGAGCCTTGACTCWAAGCATGCAGAACTGCAGCATAGTGTTCCCCATTCAAAGTAAAAGCATTCTGAGTGGGCTAGGAGGTAGATGTTTATTCAGCCTGAACTGTCAGTTTATTTTCATGCTAATACTAACCATGTTGCTGTGCTGTAATCAGCTTTTGTGTAAACAGCACAGTGTCCCTTGGGCAAGTTTAGAAGAACATTCACCCACAGCGCACCCACAGATAAATCCAGTTCTAGCCACACAGTGTTGAAAGCATTATAGAATCTGCTCTGTGTGCTYGTGGAACAGGAGCAAGTGCTTTCCTGGAGCCAGCACTCACCACTGCTTTCCTCTTGCTCTTTCACAGGCCCTACATGTCCATTGGGACGCTGCGGGATCAAGTCATCTATCCAGACTCCGTGGATGACATGCATGAGAAAGGATACCAAGACCAGGATCTGGAACATATCCTGCAAACAGTCCACCTGTACCAYATAGTTCAAAGAGAAGGAGGTAAAYTAGGCGTTTGTGCACAAAGCTTTATCACTCTAATCCCCAGGTGTGTGTGTCAGTGTGCCTTGCCTCTGCTTAMACATCTTCAACTGGAGAAACYGGATCCAGACGGACTGTGGTTGTGGGAGCTACGTGACCATGGAGTTGTTGCTTCATGACCCAACTGCTCATGGAGGGAGAGGTGCTAGAGCATTCCTCTTCTCCCACTAAACCCCAGCACTAGAATGAAAGCAGTTAGGGCTGCTCTGYTTTCCTTGGTTTCTGCTTTCCCTTCTTTGGTTTCTGCTCTCCCTTCCCTGCTTTCTGCTTTCCCCTCCCTGCTTTGTGTGACCCATGGGACATGCGCTGTAGGAAGGAGTGTGCGAGTCTGTTACCATATCAGCAGGGTGAACAAATTAAAAATAGCCAAATGACTCTAGGTGCCAAGAGAGCGTTTCCAGCCACAGCTTCATGTGTAAGTGGCCGTGCTGTTCACAGCATTGCTTGGCCTAAGAGTAGAGGGCAGTGTAATTACACAGATACAGCAAATGTCAAGATACTAAAGGCTTCTTGTATGTATTAGGAGCTGGAGAAGTTTGATTTTTTCCCCCTAGCTGTATTAGAAAATTTGTAGCTAAATTAGGAATTTTTTATTAGCAAATTATTAGCAAAATAGACAGTATATAGAATATATAGCAAAAAAMCACAGGATTATTTTTCATTCTGTTGTTCCTACCAGCCATTAACCTATAGCTTGACTTTCCCTCCATCAGTTGGCTTTTATAATGTATAYATGGCAAAGTTACTGATAGTCAGGGAGGTGAAGGAGTAAGTCTGCCAAGGGGGGTGAATTCAGGAGGACTGGGTGTACCCTGCCTGTCTGTGAGGCAGGAGCCTGTGCTCCTCTTTGGGAGGGTACGTTAGGTGCTTTCCTTACAGCACGTGCACTTCTCTTGAAGTGCCACAAGGTCGTTCTCAGAGGAGTTCCTCAGACACTGGGAACCCCAAGGAATTCCTAAATTCTGGCTCCTGCATGGAAGGGCCTTGCTTCTCTGCATTTTAGGGTGGATATCACTTACAGAATGTATACCTACGGATAACTCACCACCCCACAGCTCAGTAGATCGGCAGAGATTAACCTTTTCATAGCTTAATGCCATAGGTTAATGCCATAATTCATAGGTTAACTCTTTAAGAATATAATAATGACTGATGACCCTCAAGATAGAAAAAAGGAGTCTGGATTTGCAGTTGCTGTTCACATCTGATGTTATGATACAAGGATTGAAAACCTGGGCTGAGAACTAAGCCCAGTGGCTAGAATAATTGCAGAGAGGGCTCATATCCACCCTGCTGATGCTGTGACTATTGCCTATGCTATCTGCCTAGCTGCGTGTGAGGCTAAGGACACAGACTATAAAAGGGTGTAAGGCTCCCTGTTAAGGCTCGTTCACTGTGTTGGGAGGAACTGCAGAGTCCCCATTGTAGTAAAGGACAAAAATCTGCACAAATGAATGGTAAGGAAAGTGTCGTAGAGACTTTGCAATCTGAAATGGCAAAAGAGCACCAAGTTGGGAAGCAGGGACACAGGTTCTGGACACACCGGGAAGTTTTTAGCATCTTAGTAAGCTGCCTTGTTCCCTTTTCTCCTTGGGCATTTGGAAGAGACAAGTGCCAAGGCAGGAGTAGAGATTGTTTCTGTGGTGTCTGATTTGGTGTGGAAGAGACTTCACATACTGAGGGTTCCTTTAAGCTCTCCCAGCCTGGGGCAAAGACTCACATTCTGTTTTTCAAAATAGAAATTTCTTGAAAATTGTCGATTGAAATCTTCTTATATATATAGCTATAGCATTTTATATTCATACCAACATTTTTAAACTGAGACTGATTTCTACTACAAATGGAACTTTTTTGTTTGTAAACTCAAGAAAAATCCTAACTTTCAGAACAAGTGACTCTTTTTGCAAACTACTTTTTCCAATAGAAAATATTTTGCTTTTTTTTCCCAATGAGTTTCATGTAGGTGTTACATACACTTTTGAAAAGAGACTGTATCGTAAATAAAGTATCAGCAAAACCATTCTTGGTGACTCAGAATCTTGAGTATATGTGGGACATGTCCATCCTATTTCAAACTTTTTACATAAACTGTTTTAAGAATGGAGTTAGCTATCTATAAACCGTGTATATATCTAGATCAGCAACATTCTTCATTTCATCATTCATTTTTTCCCTGCTGTAGATCCACTTCTCCTTGGTATCCTTCCTTCTCTCTGCTCCCCCTTCTCCCATCTCCTGGAGCATTATGTGTGGAGCAGACACATTCCGTAGGGCACGTCCCAGTTGTCTTCTCCCTGACCAGCAGTGTCACACATGTGCAGGCAGGTGCTTCACAGCTCTGGGCTTTGCTCCCTGTGGGCAGTTACCTGAAAGCCAGAGCCAGCAGCAAGCAAGCCTGGCTGTTCTGCTGGACTAACTTCACTGTCTTTAGCTTTGGAATTATTTCCCAATTGCATCAGTACAAGGGTCACCAGGATTGAGATAGCCAGAAAGAGCCAGGCACTTTTCTTGTTGCTATCGGAGGCAAAACTCCCCCTAGTTTTTGCCTATTAGGATAAACAGCAGCTACAAGAATAAACACAGGCCCCAGTGCAAGCCGGTGCAGTTGCTATTGCCAAAAGGGTCCTTTCTGCAAGGGGCAGAATTTCCTGCCCACAGAATCCCACACCAATATTTCCTGACCTGCTGGGGATGAAAGGCATGGCAGCCTTGGCTGACCTTTGCTTTCCTGACAGCTTGCACTCCTTAACGTCATCCTTATCTGTAACACTGCAAGTCTGGCCTAAGCTGAACAGAGAGGTACGGACAATTTAAGCTTCTCTTTCTGGCAGTTTTTATTGGTGAGAGAATCACTGTGGAGATACTTTTGTGTATCATAATCACATTGTTAGTGATGTTATCAATAAGACCTCCAATCAACTCCTGCAAAATTCCTAGCTATAATAATTTCATATAAAATGAGGAATATATATATAAACAGAGTATATATATCCAGTACATGCAGAAATCTTGATAGTCTCCACAACAGCATGGAGATACACAGTGAACATGCGTGAAGTGGGTCCTTTTTTCAGCCTGCTCTGAAAACCTGGGTGTATTTATGAGGTGTCCCCAGCGGTGCTGCCCCACGAGGGAGGCCCGTGGCCGCATCGCAGCGTGACGAGAGCGCRACCGGGCCTGGCAGCTCGGCGCTCCTGCCATTACCAAACAGGTCCGACCTGTTCCAGGCTTCCCAGCGCCCCGCTTTATAATTATTCCTCATCATTTTGCACGGTTGTCATATCTTTGGGCCTTGTCCAGGGAAAGCTTTGCAGGCCAAAACGCACAGCTGAGCGTCGCTGCTCTGCCCTCTCCTCTGGGGTTGGAACCCCCTGTTCGTGACCTGCTTTTCCGACTTTTCTGGCAAAAGTTCATTTTTGATTGGGCAATGGCAGAAAAGGAGGTTTGTTTGTGTTGGTTTCTTGGTTGCAGCCCTTCTTGGCTGTGCCTYGCTCAGCCCTGTGCAGCTCCCCCGAGGAGAGGAGTCACTGCGCAAAATGTCTGCCCCCTCCCTGGTCAAAACTCACCTTTGCTTGTTATTTCGCCCTTCTGTCCGTCTGGATTGCTTAATTGGAAGCTTGTTTCTTAATAGGGTAATTGGTGTTTGAGGCTAGGTTTTCATTACTGGGAATAACCCGTGCCGTGGTGCCCAGAGAAACCCTCTTCCACCACAAGATCTCGGATAAGACACACGCAGGCCCGACGCACGCCTCGGAAAGTCAGGATTCAGCCACAGGCCCTGCAGGATATTAAGTAAGAACACCCAGTTTTGTAACAGTTGCGGGTCCTTTTTAAACACGAGATCGCCAGAAGTCTGTAGGCAAAACCCACCCCCCCTCGTGTGCCCTGTTTWCTCCTGCTTGCTGCTTGTTTGTGTGCACAGGCCTGTATCCACAACAGCAGATGTGTTTGAGCGGCCCTGCCTGCGGAGCTTGCCAAGAGCTGCAGCAGCCGGTGGAGTCAGGCACTAAACACCGTAATCCCACGCTGCTATTTAGGGGGTTACAGCTTATTTCTTTCTGTGTTTGTTTTTAATTTTCCACTCGCTTTTCAAGAAGGAATAACAAATTGTTCTATAAAGCAAGTGCAGGAAAAATCTTTTGCTATACACAGGTAAAAGATGTTTTTTTTCAGAGATATGATAATATTTCTTGACAATGCCTTTGTGACTGAAGAAGCTAAAATCCACTTTTAGCAGTGACATATTTAGGATGTTTTTCTCTTGAATGTTAGTGGAAAGGTACAGAGGTATTTCTGGGGCTGTAATCCAGAACCTTGAACACTTTTTCTGCAGTAGTCATGGTCTTTATGATTTTCCAGAGGTTCTGCAAGGCATTCCTTCCGTACTCCCTTCCATATTTCCTTCATATGCTCACATTATCCGTATGCATTTTCTTTGCATTTTTTATCAGGTTGGGATACCGTCTTGGACTGGAAGGATGTCTTATCAGGAGGAGAAAAGCAAAGGATGGGCATGGCTCGGATGTTTTACCATAAGTAAGCACTTTGTTTATTAAGCAGTGGCTGAAAGTGAGGAAGAGTTATGGAGTTTTGCTCTAATGGTAGTACTGAGCGCTAAGCAGTAGTGGGCTTTAATATCCATGCCACACTGCTACACTATTGCATAGGGACACTGGTCTTGCAATTCAGTCCTGTAAGCTCTGTTTTTACGTCTAGGCAATGCCTCTTACTTCTGCTTTGCTTTGGGCAACGTTCTCCAGATGGTCCTTTCTTTAGCMTCTCAGGCACAAAGATCTTCCCTAGGTCTGTAGGAGGTTTTGCAGAAGTCGGGTCATGGTCATGGGGGTTTGAAAACCAAGYTCCTTGGTTTGGCTGCAACCTTTTCAATTTTGGGGACTGCAAATATGGCAGAGGCAGCCCAGTCTGTCCACAGCAGTGGGTATAAACTCTCTGAATTGCTGCAGTAACTGCACGACTTGTTGACAGAACAGAATAATAGTAAGTCAAACTAGGACTTTTTTTGTTTTTAAACATCATACATGGGAATACTGTCCTAAATGTAACAGAGTGATRTGCTTTGTCTGTTTCTGAAAGGCCAAAATATGCACTGCTGGATGAATGCACGAGTGCTGTAAGCATTGATGTTGAAGGAAAGATTTTCCAAGCTGCAAAAGCTGCTGGGATATCCCTGCTTTCGATAACACACAGACCTTCTCTTTGGTGAGTACGTCCAGGAATTTGTAACAGTCCTTGCTTTTAGCTTTCTGCCTGACAGTCGATTGCCTTTTGGACCGTGGTCTCTGTACTAGGACAGTTGTACCAAGGTAATCCATACCCCCTGCACTAAGATAACTAGGCTACAAGAAGAGAAAGGTAAATGTCATTAATATTGATTTGTTTTCAATTTTGAGGAGTATATTTATTCCTCCCTCTTATTCTCTTATAATGCATTTCAGTTATTAACTATTAATAGCAGCATGCTGATAGCCAGGCAGCAATTCATTAACTATATCACAGCTATGGCAGGTATCGCCAGATTATTCTGTAACATGGCAAGAAACATGAGCTGTGTCCTGAGGAGTTTGCCTGTGTTTGTGATTAGATGGGCAACGTGGCACCTGGAYAAGCTCCTCCTCGTTCTTTCATGATACTTAATACATCCCTTGGTTTAAACTCAGGTGTGTGGCTTAATGCAGTGTTTGTGGGCATTCAAAATGTGGCTGGYTCTTAAAAAGTAAATACTGGACTTCTGAGAAAGGTCATTCAAGTGAGGTAATACTGARGATGGGAGAGTCCATCAAAGGAAAATAAATGTATTTACTAAGGACATAAAACAATCAAATACTTTAAAGGCAAAAGGAGWTCAAAAATGAGTGCCAACTGACATTAGAAATATTTGGAATATTTGTTTTGAAGTCCTTAATCTTTACTCCCAGATTGTTTGCTTTTCTAAGCTGGTGTAAAAAAGCCACTAGTAATTTGTTACCCCAACAAGGAGATATMCATCTCCATCTACTGCTCTTCGAACGAGTGGCTTCTCCAGTATTTCTCCTTAGTCTGTGTAGATGGGGACAATGACAAAGTCCATTAGATCAGCAATCATTTTGAATCAAAAATGGAATTTCTGACTTAAAAAAAAGTTTACATTTATTTAAAAAATAATTTAGATTAAGCCTAAAAATAAAAATATTCATTAAATTTTAAAAGAGTTGGGATTATTTTAAAACCCCTGATCAAGAAAACAGATGTTTGAGAAYATGCCAGCTGCCAATAGTGATGATGTAGAGGGGAGCTCTACAAGAGAGCGTGTGGGGAAGCTCTGGGCTTGCTTTCCTGCTAAGGTGACTTGTTTTCCAGTACAGTGCTGTGCTGGAAAGTCTAAGMTTATCCTTGCAACTGCAGTTACCAGAATTCTGTGGTTTGTGGAATCATGAACTGATAAAAACAGAGGGATAGATGGAGGCGATTGCCTTATTCTAGAAAGGTGAAAAAAGAAGTGTTCAGAGTTCAAAAATAAGAATCAAATGTCGTTTATTGAGGTAAGCTCCCATAGGCGCTGCAYGGCATAGTCACAGGCTGTGCTCTCAAAACACCACCAGGAAATGGGGCTCTTTTATTCCAAATATGGGCTGCTTTCCTAGACCCCAGCAATCGGCCATCTCAGTCGGCTGTCTTAGCATCCTGCATTTGGGCTTTTTTGGGGAGGAGGCAGGGAAGAGAAGTACAGGGGTCAGTTCAACATTTGGTGTCTCAGACAATAGCATACAGGAGTGGTGAAAGAAGCCGGCAGTTAAATATCACTGGAGTCTCATGCCATAAAACATGGAAGTTTCTTAAACTGTCACATTCCCAGGGTGGGATTCATAATCGCTGCTCCGTGATGTGTCTCCTCTTCAACAATTTATAGTGATAAATTGCACGGCTGTAACAGCAGCTCGGAGAGAACTCTCTGTTCTGCCTCTTGCCCTGCCTGATGAATGTCCTGTCAGGTCCTGACAACTCTACCTGTGCCTCTGAATATTTTGGTGCACACACCCAGATATGTACTGAGAGATCTGTGGCTCCTCCGCAGACTTTTTTGCTTTGGTCCCTTGCAAGTCACACGATGCTCTAGGACTGGAGCTTTCTTGAGCTGACCTTACAAAGTGCAGGGAAACGGAGGTGTAAATCAAACAAGTCAGGGTTTCATCAGTAGCATCAGGTGCATCGTGCTTGCCAGAACATCTGCTCTGGTTAAGGTGTGTAACATCTCCTAGAACGTGAGATGAATGTGATTGAACGGGCCACACGTTCCCTTTCATTCTTGGGAAGGGAAGGGACTGCTTGGATGCGCCGCAGGTTAAAGGCAAGAGGAGGGTGGGTCGGGAATTGCAYGATACAGATCCATATTGTCACGTTGGCTGTGGGAAGTGCCAGGCACGGGCTTTGAAATGCCCAGATCCTCCACAAAGAACGYCACGCGTTTCCAAACGTTTATAAAAGCCTCACAGAGTGATCCCGAACAGGCAACGCTCAACTTCCTGAGAAACAACCCTCAAAACAGGTATCGTGCTCAAAATCACAGAATATTCAAGGTTGGAAGGGACCTCTAGAGATCATCTAGTCCAAAATCTGCGCCAAGGAACAGGCAAATTGCTCCCCCAAGCCATTACTAATGTTTCAATTTCTGATGCAGGAAGTACCACACTCACTTGCTGCAGTTTGATGGACAAGGAGGCTGGCGCTTCGAACAGTTGGACACCGCCATCCGTTTGTCCCTGAGTGAGGAAAAACAGAGACTAGAATCTCAGCTTGCAGGAATCCCTAAAATGCAGCAGAGACTGAACGAACTGTGCAAAATCCTGGGGGAAGACTCGGTGCTTAAAACAATGGACAAAGAGGAATAAATAATTTATGGTTTTCGTTTTTAAAAGTATTTTTTTAGTTAAAAGCATTACAAATTCAGACATTATCCTTTGCATGCAATGTAATAGAGGCTTAGAGCTTAGAAAAACACAGCCAGCAAAAAATAATGCTCTGAATGCTATGTAAGACTTTAGCGTTTTAGTATTAATGAAGAAAATGGTTTGAACTGTGAAAAGAAAATGAGCAAGTGCACAGAACATAAGATTAGTTGTTGCAGCTTATGTTAATTCCTAGCGAAAGCCCAATTCACTGCAAAAAACTTGCCAGCACAGCTAGGTTTTCCAGGTGGATGTTTGCAGGAGCCCTGGCGTGCGGAACGCGCTCTCGTGGCGAGTGACTGCGTATGATGCGCCTGCTGCGCGGAGCAAACCGGACACGGAGCTCGGGCACGGAGCCCGGCGGAGGCAGCGCCTGGAGAGCCGGCGCACGCGTGCCCGGATCTCACAGGGGTGGGAGAAAGGCGCTCTCGGGCCCTGGGAAACGGAGCCGGTTCCACGAGGAGCCGCGTGCACGGCGCGGCTGCGCTTCCATAGGAAGTTACCGCAGGCTGAGCAGAAAGGGCTGTGGGAGCAACCAGCTGCCTCGCAGGCGAGGAGAGGGGATAGAACAAAACGTGTGCATACATCTCCTGTATCTTCTGCCGCTGTGGTGGCTTCAGAGGCTCCTTGCCCTTCGTGATACATCAGTTCCCGAGGGGGATTACTCGTGTCCCCTGTTTGCTAACCTCTGGTGGATGGATGGAGCGCTGGGCCTGGCGTCAGGAGGCTCAGCCTTTTCCTTCAGCCGTTCGCTTGCTGTGGGGCCTGATCCTGCCAGCAGCCGTCTGTGACCCACTTCCTCCACGTGTAAAATCAAAATATGGGCACCTGTCTGCTCTATAGGGCGCTTTGTGCTGAGGTGAGCTCTGTGAGAGAGGAGTGTTGGTTTCTCAGGCATGGCCGTCCTGCCGGCTAAATTGCACTTGCAAAGAAAGGTCTGTGAAGAGGCGGAGCGTTTTGTAACCACTAACTAGTGCGTGCGAGGTGGCCGGGAACTGACYGGGAGGCACCGCGCTGGGTAGCGGCTCTGCGTGCCGGGGCTCTCGCTCCTCCTGCCCTCCCTCTTGGCCCCGTGCGAACCTCGACCCCGCTCAGGCACGCGGGGCTTTAACCTGAAATCCCCCAGGGGTTTCTGTGGTTCCTTACAGGATTTCTGTGATTCCGTAGAGGATTTCTGTGATTCCGTAGAGGATTTCTGTCCAGCGATTGCTGCTTAGTCCATGCAGGGGCAAAGCTGAACTGTCAAGGGAGGAGAAATATGTTTGGCTTTTCGCTGAGGTGGTTTCAGGAGGCTCGGCACCAGCACTAGAGAGAGGACTTGGAAATGGCACCGCGTCCTTGCAAAGGGGATGTCCTTGTCACCRTCTCTGCCTGGCTTGTGCCATGAGGAGGCCGGGAATGCCCGAGTGCCCTCGGCTCGGGAAGACTCTTCCCTCTTTCTCGTGGCGTCACCCACTTTCCAGCTCTGCTTTGGACAGTTCCCCCTGTCTTATCTGAACACGTAGCTCTGGGCATCTTAGCAATTCACAGCCCTTCCTGTCCCTTACCCGCCAGTTTGCTCAGTGAAAAGGCCTTTTTGGTGCAAAGATGGGATTCAGCAAAAGTTCCAATGGACGAGTGTGATAACTGGAGCCTCTGCTYGATCAGCAAAATCCAGGTCTGCTGCCCTAACCCCTAGGCCGTCTTCCCTGTTGGGATGTGCTGCACTTCCTGCTTTTATGTATTCCCCYAGGGAACTAGCGGCAGAGCTTGGGATGAGCCTGGTCCCTGCTCTGCTCCTGCAGAGTGTGGGGCTTGAACGTAACCCCGCACTCGCCCCGATGACCGGACTTTGCTCCTTTCATTAAGTTTTCTCTGCAGAGTCCCCCGGGACATCTCCCTGACAGAATGGACGGCTCCCGGGAGCCTTTGAAAGGGATGAGGAATTAAGGTTTGGCCTCACAAGATGTTGTGGTGCAGACAGGAGGTCCCCGGTGCGCGTTTTGATTTGCGAGCGCCTCTGCTCGTYGCTCTCCCCGAAGGCCAGTTTTCTTCCTTCTCAGCTTCAAAGGAAAACTCACAAGTGCTGAGGGGAAAAAAAGAGACGGCGTGAGCCAGGAATCTGTCCACAATGAACCTGCAYGAGATGACGGATGTTTCTAAAGGCTTGAGCGTCCCTGGGGTTTGTCTCTCGAGCCACTTTTCCTGCCCGTTCCGGCCTGGTGGGCGCTGCCCGTTGGAGCCGCCTTTCCCGCCCGTTTCCGCGCCCTTTGGAGCCACCTTTCCTGCCCATTCTGCCTCGGAGGGCGCTGCCCTTTGGAGCCGCCTTTCCCGCCCCTTCCATGCCCGTTGGAGCCACCTTTCCCGCCCGTTCCACCTTGGCAGGCGCTGCCCTTTGGAGCCGCCTTTCCCGCCCTTTCCGTGCCCGTTGGAGCCGCCTTTCCCGCCCATTCCAGCTGCTGCTGGCGCCGCCTCACAGCGGCCGCCCCTCATGGCGCGGCGTCTTCTCAGCAGCAGGCCGTGTTCGGAAGGGTCTTATGTTCTTTGTTTATGAAGTTCTGCACAAAAGATAGATACGTTGCTGACAAAATTGTGAGGAAAACCGAAATGGCACTGGAATCAACATAGTAGTTTTTTACTTGAAGCTTGATGGAGGTTTCTTGGATGCAGCAGCGTCACAGACTTGCCCCTTCGCATGGTGGAGCACCATGAAGCCTCCCTGCGGCTCCCGCTCTCCTCTGCGCTCCAGGAGACCTCGAAAGGACACCGGGAGACCTCGAGAGATGATAGGAGAGGAGGCCCTTCATCAAGGCGGGGTCTTTTGGAGTTAAACAGAGCCAGTTTTAGAAGGGTTTTCTGTGCTGGTGACTCATTCTTTGGAGAATCAGTTTTGTGGCGTGCAGAGAAGTTGCTTTGGAGATTTTTTTTTGTAGACTTAGGAGCTGCAGCCAGTGCTAATGGAGGCAGAAGCCCCCGCACGTCCAGACTCCCTCCTGTCTCTGCATGGGAGCCGAGTGGGGATGGTGCCTTCGGGGGACATTTTCCTGGGGAAATGGGACCCCAGAAGTGTAACAGAAATGTGAAAGGTCCACATCAGTTCAATCAGTTAGTGCTGGGATTATTTTTTTGCAAGGATGTTCAGAATGTGAAAAAAATACTCTTTTGCTCATTGGATTTCAATAATTTTAACCTAGGATCGGGGTTTTCTTCACTTAGTTTGGGAAGCAGACGAACTCCTCTTTCAGGATTGGCACCTCGGCCTCTGCGAGAGAGGAAAACCTCGATCTGTCTTTTGAAGGTGTTTTTAGAAACCAGGGAGATTTGTGTTTGAATGAGAAATGAAGGACTGGGCATTTAATGGGTTATTTATGGGAAATTTGCAATAAAAATTATTTCTGAAAGCAACTGAACTCATCCCCTGTCCCCTGCCTATGTGTGAATGATGATTATAATGTGTCAAAGCCGAGTTTATGAGCCTATGACCGGAGAGATTTCAACCATACATAAAATGAAGTCAACCTACTCAGCTGTTGATAAAGCTTAAGAGAACCAAACTGCTAACTGAATGTGTCTTTGTTTTGGTTATGTTTGGTTATGTTTGATATTAATGCCTTTTAAGAGCAGACAATTTATACAGCAATAAATTATGCTTTACAGTTGTAATTTATTCCAACCTCAAATAAAACATGTTGCATTTACTTTGAGTGCCGTGTTCCCTATGGGTCATTTGCCAAGCAGTGGAAAGCTGGGGGGGAGCTTGGAAACGTGGCCGTGTGGGARTGCTGCACCCTGGCAGCTGGATGTGCTGAATTGCCTATTTCCAAGAGGAAATTTAAAATACAAGCTGAGGAACCAGCTGGGCACAGGGTAAGAGTAAGGAACCGGGTTGGGTTGAGGATCTGGGAAAAATCATCTCAAGAGAGCCAATGGSAAGAGACAGGATCACAAAATATTCAAGGTTGGAAGGGACCTTTAGAGATCATCTAGTCCAACCTTCCTGCTCCAGCAGGCACACCCAGAGCAYGKGGCACAGGGTGGCATCCAGGCAGGTTTTGAAGACCTCCAGAGAAGGAGACTCCACAACCTCCCTGGGCAGCCCCTGCCATAATCCCTGGGAATTTGCCGGCTAAAGGGAAATCCACTGGTCCGGACTGAAGCAGGAGCAGTCGGTTTTGGTGCCTGTGAGCAGGACTGAAAACCTAAAATCACCTGGAGAGAGGAAAGTCACATACAAAAAACCCTCCCAGAGCCGCGTGCTCCGTGCTCAACAGAGCATGYGGAGCCTGTGGCTGCCAGTGGGAAAAGGGGAAAACTCTGCTAGGAGCGTTTTCCATTGGTCAATCAAACACGGATTGTGCGGCCTGGGCTGCCTAAAATTAACATGAAAAACCTCATTAAAAAATTATAAAGCATTTCTAACATCTTCTAGAAGTTTGCTCCTCTTAGAGGAGAGCTCATTTGCGAGCTAAAATTGCTTTGTAGTTGGTTTTGTTTTTATTTCTCCTTTATTCCTGCTCTTTTTTTCCCAGGGGACAAAGGGAAAAAATGCAACCTATCTCAGCCATTAAATATTTATGCAATAGCATATTAGCTTTTTTTTTTCTGTTAGCATCATCAAACATACAGTGATAAGCCAGCCCTGACACAGCATTTGTGGAATAATGTGAGAATCAAGAGAAATGAGAACRTTAATTTACTGATCAATTTGAGTATGAAGACTATCATAAAACTTGTTCAGATTGAAAATGTCTTTGAATGGAGTTTTAGATTTGTTGTCTTCTAGATCCATATTTCAAAAGCACTAGAGCCGTAAAGATTTGGCATCTTCAGGAAGCAGAACTTGTTTTCCCCATACCTGATACACAAGATTTGGAATCAAACACAGCCTATTTAGTATAGAAAACAAACAACTTGCACTCGGTGATCCTGTGATATCCTTGATCTCTTTTTTTATTGAAATGAAATGGG